GGCAGAGCCAATGAGTAGAGTACAGTTCTTTGGATAAATGATAAAAACGGAGAGTCACTTTAGAAGCAAAAGCAAGTGGAAATGTGTTACTTGGCTTCAGCCAATAATAAAAAAAAATCAAGTGGAAATGCGTTATGGTAGGTGGACAAATGAATGATTCCTGGACTCAGGTCATCTGAATAATGATGGAGCTGCGGTTCACAGGCATTTTATGTGCACTCCATAAACGCAGTATCTGAGCCTCTGGAAAGCTTCTGAGCCTTGTTTTACTAACTGTGTGCCTGGAGGTCAGAGAGCTAGTTTTTGGTAGTGCTAAGTTTTGGGCTCACATGTGATCTGCTCCAGTGCCAATCCATTTGCCATCCCAAATCTGGGTTGCTGAAAGGCCACTGCATCCATGAAAGGAGGTCAATTATAAGATAAGAGGGGTTGGGCGAGGTGGTTCATGCCTGTAATTCCAGGACTTTGGGAGGCCGAGGCAGGTGGATCACAAGGTCAGGAGTTCAAGACCAGCCTGACCAACATGGTGAAGCCATGTCTCTACTAAAAATACAAGTATTAGCTGGGCGTAATGGCAGGCGCCTGTAATCCCAGCTGCTTGGGAGGCTGAGGTGGGAGAATCGCTTAAAACTGGGAGGTGGAGGTTGCAGTGAGCTGAGATTGCGCCACTGCACTCCAACTTAAGCAGCAGTGCAAGACTCTGTCTCAAAAATAGTAATAATAAAAATAAAAGGAAATCTGGGAAAGTAAGAAAATGGGTTTGATCTCAGGCAGATTAGTTTGAGGTGCTGGTAGGATATCTACAGAGGTATTCATCATGTGCCTACAGGTGACATAAATTATATACATGGACATAGAAATATGAATGGTGTTGTGAGCCTCATGGGAAATGGAGAGTGCCCATCAGTTTGAAGGCACTGCAATTAGAACATTTTCAGAATTTCGTTGGCCAAAGAAGCCTTAGCTTTGTGCAGGGTTTGATAGGTAGTTTGCAAACTCAGCCTAGACCTTGCAAGAGTGGGTATGTGGGGTTGGAAGGAGTACCTTTCTGGGATGGCCTGGCTCTCATCCCCAGCCTGGCCCTCGTGAGCAATGTGATCCTGGGCCTCAGTGTCTTCATGGATCAAATAAGAGCTTTGGACTAGATGGTTTCTGAGGTTTGTTATTAAATAGCTCTTAAGGCTGGCTCTGTGGCTCACGTCTGTATCCTAGCACTTTGGGAGGCCAAGGCAGGCAGATCCCTTCAGCCCAGGAGTTCGAGACTAACCTGGGAAACATGGAGAAATCCTGTCTATACAAAAATAAAAAAATTAGCCAGGCATGGTGGCGCACACTTTTGGTCCCAGCTACTTGGGAGGCTGAGGTGGGAGTATTATCTGAGCCTGGGAGGTGGAGATTGCAGCAAGCTGCAGTTGTGCCAGTGCACTCCAGTATGGGCGACAGAGCAAAACCCTGTCTCCAAAAAAAAAAAGTAAAATAGCTCTTAAAACCATTTGTTGTCAGTAAGTGCTGTAATCCCAACACGTGGGAGGATGAGGCACGAGAATCACTTGAACCCAGGAGGCGGACATTGCAGTGAGCCAAGATCGCGCCACTGCACTCCAGCCTGGGCAACAGAACAAGACTCTGTCTCAAAAAAAATTTTTAAAGGATGAAAAATAATCGCTGCAAGTCAAGTTACAGTGCTTTTCTGTTAATGACTTCCAAATGTCCCACATGTACTGTCTCTTCGCAGTAGCATAAACTAAAATGTAGGGAGATGCAATGAGTTCCTACAGGCCCTCGAGCTGACGGTAGGGTTGGGAATATGGCTGGGTGTGCCGCGGATGACATCCACTGCACAGCTGATCGATAAAAACAGTAATCAGTTATAAAGTGTTAGGACAATTACAGCTTATTTAAAGAAAACACAATTAATGCAGGAGTTAGTGAGGCTAGTATTCTTATTGTGTGCAAATTTGAATTACCAGCCAAGGAGAGGAAATTATTTTGCTAACAACTAGCTCCCAGTGGTGGCCTGCCTGCCACCTCCTGGTTCATGTTGAGTTCTAGAGTTTTTATAAACCCTGTTTGCGTACTTGACTGTATGTTCTTTAAAGATTTCTGCAAAGCTCAAGTGAAGTCGGGAGCCCAGCTGTGCCATCCTCATCAAGACAGCCTCCTGCTCAGTCTCCAGGGACACCATCTGAGTTTCCCAGGCTGGAGGGAGCCCCGGCCACAATGACACCCAAGCTGGGGCGAGGCGTCTTGGAAGGAGATGATGTTCTCTTTTTTGACGAGTCACCACCACCAAGACCAAAACTAAGTGCTTTAGCGGAAGCCAAAAAGGTAACTGGCATCTCTTCTTTTTAACACCTGAGTTTGCATTCTGTAGGACAGAGCTGGAGGAAAGACAGATACCTAATAGCTGTATATTGATGGTGCTCATTAGAGTCAGTGTAATTTGAAAAAATGGTAGTGTCCACATAATATGAATTTAATCCAAGAAAGTTAGAGCTGTTATCTCCACACTATTTCTTGCCAGGCTGCAGGATGTACCCTAGAGGAAGATAGTGTTTATAACTAGAGACACTGACTGTAGGAAAACAATTCTTGGAATTGTTGAGGTGAGACTGTAATGTAAAATGGTGATTTAAGGAATCCTTCCCTCTTCCTTCCTGCCTCTCTTTCTCTCTCACTCTCTCTCTCTCTTTCCCTCTTTCTCTTACTCTATTGTCCAGGCTGGAGTGCAGTGTCACAATCTCGACTCACTGCAACCTCTGCCTCGCGGGTTCAAGTGATTCTCCTGCCTCTGCCTCCTGAGTAGCTGGGATTACATGCACCCACCACCACACCCGGCTAATTTTTGTATTTTTAGTAGACACGGCGTTTCACCATATTGGCCAGGCTGATCTCAAACTGCTGAACTCAAGTGATATGCCCACCGCAGCCTCCCAAAGTGCTGGGACTATAGGCATGAGTCACTATGCCTAACCAAGAATCCTTCTTTAAAAGAAATCTTACACAGAAGTCTAGTCACATGACAGGGACTAGAGAAAGCTGAGTTGCTTTGGCTGAAGTAGGGGACCCTCAGAGCCCCAGCTGCCTGCTTCCTGAGTCCCCTGACCGAGCCTCTCTCTCTTCTAGTTAGCAGCTACAGCCACATGAAGTGCAGCGGCTAGCTGTATGCCACGACCTTCCCAACATACCTATAGTACTGCATACAGTAATAACCTATAATAACAACCATGACGCATGTCCGTGTTACTCCATGCCTGTGATATGTGTGTGCTGTGCATTTACTATGTTTGTTTGTTTGCTTGCTTTTTGAGACAGAGTCTTGCTCTGTCACTCAGGCTGGAGTGCAGTGGTACAATCTCGTCGCACTGCAGCCTCCACCTCCTAGGTTCAATCAGTTCTCCTGCCTCAGCCTCCCGAGTAGCTGGGAATACAGGTGCCTGCCACCATGCCCGACTAAGTTTTGTATTTTTAGTAGAGACAGGGTTTCACTATATTAGCCAGACTGGTCTCAAACTCCTGACCTCGAGTGATCCCCCTGCCTCAGCCTCCCAAACTGCTGGGATTACAGGCATGAGTCACTACACTCAGCCAGAAATGTATTTACTATGTACAGATTCATACTTTGCAGACATCTTATTTCATCCACACCACCATGACCTTCAAAGGTAGGTCAATACTATATCATCATTTCCTTCTTTTGTTTTGTTTTGAGACAGGGTCTTACCCTGTCTCCCAGGCTGGTATGCAGTGGTACAGTGACAGCTCACTGAAGCCTCCACCTCCCAGGGCTCAGGTGATCCTCCCAGCTCAGCCCCCTGAGTAGCTGGTACTGCAGGCATGCACTACCATACGCAGCTAATTTTTGTATTTTTTGTAGTGATGAAGTCTCGCTATGTTTTTTTCTCAGGCTGGTCTTGAACTCCTGAGCTCAAGTAGCCTGCCTGCCTCAGCCTCCCAAAGTGCTGGGTTTACAATGAGCCACCGTGCCCAGCCCCATTTCCGTTTTATAAATGAGAAATTATATAACTTGCCTCGGGTTACAAGCTAGTCCATGGCAGAGCTGGATGGAATTCCATCCTAATTCTCTCTGATTCTAAAACTTACAAAATGGTGATGTGGCTCCTTCCTGGATCTGGAAGCCTGCAGTCTCGCTGATGTCACACTTGTTATATTTTAAATAAACTGAGACTTACTCATCAGCATGTAGACCTGTCTCCCATGCTATTACAGTCTAGTAATTTTGGTAATAATACCAAGGAAAATTAAGATATGTTTTGCCAGTTTCTCTTGGAGGACAGCCAGAATTCACTCGTTAATAACAAAAAAGAGGTCCAGGTCTTAAGCGCCTCTGTCATCTTTCAGATCTTTACCTCCCTCTCTTCTCTTTTTTTCTAGTTAGCTGCTATCACCAAATTAAGGGCAAAAGGCCAGATCCTTACAAAAACAAACCCAAATGGCATTAAGAAGAAGCAAAAGGACCCTCAGGCCGTCCTGGAGGTGAAGGAACGTGTAGAAAAGAACGCCATGTTTTCTTCTCCAGGTACTGCAGTTTCACAGTTAACAGTGGAAAACAGAAACTGTTTCTAAGGGAAATACGTTCTAAACCCAAACCAGCACCCAGATATCAAGCAGTTACTTCAATTTCCTCCTATAAAGAATACCTAAATAGAATTTCTATGGGTGGAACTGATTTTTTTTATAATCACTTTAAATTGGAATGAAATTAGACATAATTCGAATACTTGGGAATAGGATCTTTGTACATATATTAATGTAAAGGTTTGCTTTGACAGGACTCAAATTCCTTTGTTTTAAATTGCCCTGTCTTTATTTTTAAAACTCCGAAGTAGGCAATATCATGTTAACATCATTGTCAACATATTTAACATTGCTATTATCTATTATGATAGTCAGCTGCCTATTTGAAGGTGAAAAAGAGATTCTAATTTAGTGGCCAAATCTGCCACCACCCACATTCTATGTTCAGCTTCTTGGCTCACCTCTGAGCCCTTCCTCTGCTGGGGCCAGCTGGGGTAGGTCGCGTTTGAAGGGCTGGTAGGCAGAGGAAGGGGGAGTGGAAGGGAGTGGAGTCGACGAGGCACGCTGGCTTTCTGCAATTTCTTGGTCACTGCTGATGCTTGTTCCTTCTGCTCTAGCTGAGGTTGAATTAGAACCTGCCAGGAAAAAAAGGAGAGAACAACTTGCCTACCTGGAATCTGAGGAATTTCAGAAAATCCTCAAAGCAAAATCAAAACACACAGGCATCCTGAAACAGGTAAGATCCCAAAAGCTCAAGGATGGTGTTGATGTCCGGTGTCCTTCAAAGCCAAGGTGCCAGCTGTAGGACCAGAATCTGCTGTTTGTTTTGTTTTGAGACAGAGTCTCAGTACAGTGGTGCAGTCTTGGCTCACTGCAACTTCCACCACCTAGGTTCAAGCGATTCTTCTGCCTCAGCCTCCCCAGTAGCTAGAATTACAGGCATCCGCCACCATACCAAGCAAATGTTTGTATTTTTAGTAGAGGCAGAGTTTCCCCATGTTGGCCAAGCTGGTCTCTAACCCCAGACCTCAAGTGATCCTCCCGCCTTGGCCTCCCAAAGTCCTGGGATTACAGGCATGAGCTACCATGCCCAGCCAAGAATCTGCTTTTTACATAATTCTAGAAGTAGGTATGTGTCCGTTTGTTTGAGTTTGCTTTGAAGAACAGGATAATTTCGAATAGATTTTAGCCTTGGCTTTGACCCTTTACTGAAGAATATCATTTGACTTAACATGACTTAAATAGATATCAGTATTATAAAAATGTTTGCACTTGGTTATGGCTGTGAAGTGATGTTTAAATGGTTCTAAACTGTTGCTGTTTTCTGCCTTGCAATATGCAAAGAGAGTCTTCCCATCCAGGATTTTATATCTGCATATCAGATGCTCCAAAGCCGGGCTTAACTCATGCTGGAGGCTCTTTTTAGTAACAGGTGTTTGTATTGCTTTCTTATCTTGAAATAAAATTCATGGATAATATGAATTACCTATACTAGTCATTTTGAAAAATTAATATCCTAATGCAAAGAAGAAAAAGTAAAGATATTTAAGATAAAGGTAGAGATTGCATTATGGATTTGTAAATGCATAGGCAGAACTAGCTGAGGGGAGATAAAGTGGTGAGAGGCTTGGATTTATTAGTATAAATGAGCCAGAAATGGAGACTCAGAAATGTTTCTTTGATAATGTGGGGATTTTTGTCAGGGATGGGAGGAGTGTTCAGACAGGGTCTCTGTATGTTCCCCAAACTGGTCTTGAATCCTGGGCTCAAGCAATTCTCATACCTCAGCCTCCTGAGTAGCTAGGAATAGATAATGTACTTTTCAGGGGGTGGGGGTGTTTTTTTGAGACAAGGTCTGGTTTATCTATGTTGCCCAGGTTGGAGAGGAGAGAGAGATAGAGTGTGTGTGTATATGTGTTTTAAGTAAACAATCCCGAGAAACCACAGTACCATTGTCCCTCAGTATACACGGGAATCTACTTTTACTCTTACAATAGCCAACACGTGTTAAAAGCATGCACAAATATTGTAGAGTTGTGTAGAAAGCAGTTAGGTTCTAGGGTTTTAATCAGGTTCCCCACTCACACATTTGTCTCAGAGCACACAGAAGCCAGGCAGGATGAGAAGCAGTCCTTAGTTGTGTCGGTGACTGTCCCATGTATTGCAGACAGTTCAGCACCCCTGGTCGCTGCCAACCGCAGAGGTAGCAATCATTATGATAACACAAAGTGCTCCCACCAATTTAAAAAATAATCGCCATTCTGTATCACTACTCCAGATGATCTGCTCTTCCTTTGATTAACAAATAACTAACAAAACAGCTCTGCATGGTATCGTTTCACTGAACTTGAAACTCAGGAGAGATGCCAGCAGTGCCTCTGCAGCTGCAGAGCTGAGCTCGTTGCTTCTGTGGCACCCGAGGCCCAGGGCCCTCCTGCCTGTGGAGCAGCGCTAACCCCATCGCTGCACGCACATTCTGCCACAAGCATCTCTGCCCTCAGGGCTGTTCCCTGACATTCCGTGTACCAAGGAAACTCGCCAGTGGGGGCCCGGAGTCCCTTGTGTTATGGAGCCTATATTAGAACAGTAGAAATAACTGCCCTTGGGCACACACTTGGTGTAATGATGCTGTCGTATTAGGAGTGCTTATTTGTATTTGGTGTTTTAAAAATTACCAAATGGGCCAGGCACAGTGGCTCACACCTATAATCCTAGCACTTTGGGAGGCCAACGCAGGCGGATCACCTGAGGTCAGCAGTTTGAGACCAGCCTGGCCAGCAGGGTAAAACCCCATATCAGCTGAAAATTCAAAAATTTAGGTGGGCATGGTGGCAAGCACCTGTAGTCCCAGCTACTTGGGAGGCTAAGGCAGGAGAATCTCTTAAACCCGGGAGATGGAGGTTGCTGTAAGCCAAGATTGCACCACTGCACTCTAGCCTAGGTGACAGTGAGACTCCATCTCAAAAATAATTTAAAAGCATCACCAAATGCTCTTGTATCCCTTTGATTTTGCATATTAAGAGCTTGTTTCTACGTATCATCATCTTTTGCTTTGCAGATTGTCGAGGTACTGTCCAGGGCCCTGGCACTCTTAGCCTGTCCCTTCGGTTCTGTTCTGTTCTGATTATCAGCTGACTCATCTGAATAATCATTGAGTTACTCTTGCTGCACTGCCTGAGCGCATACTGGATTTGGCACCAGGTCTCTCATATGCCCTGTCGTTCCAGGCCGAGGCTGAGCTGCAGGAGCGCTACTTTGAGCCACTGGTGAAGAAGGAACAAATGGAAGAAAAGATGAGAAACATCAGAGAAGTGAAATGCCGCGTCGTGACATGCAAGACGGTAGGTGAAGGTGGGGGCTACAGCAACCATGGGCCCCTCGTGGTGCTGCTGTGACTCGGCAGCACTTGGAGAACATGTGGGATCTGGGGCCTTATCTTGTAATGTGTCAGTTAATTAGGCTGGAAAGCAAAGGGCGGAGGTGGCCCAGAACCCGGCTTCCTGCCTGACCTGGCTGCTGTGCTCTGCCAGTGGAGCATTTGTCTAGGGCATTCTCCCATTTGACCACTGCCTCCAGTTCGAATAGGCCTTAACATCTCCTCCCCTGGACCACTGGGTCCACGAGGCTCAGTGTACATAGGCCCTGGGACCATGGTTGAACCCCTTGGGCTCACCACTCTTCTCTGCACTTTCTGAGGTTGTCTAAGTCTCAAGTTACTTACCAAGCTCAGTGTAATTCTCAGAAGTGACAGTCCTCTCTCCCGCACGTGCTGTGCTGCACACCCACCGCTTCTGATTCTCTTCGGTCTGAGGATTGAAATTAGAAGTGAAATCCTTAATCTCTCTGTCTTGGCTTTGCTGCTAATGAAACAGGGAGTAATAATAAGCCTACATCCTTTTTATAGATCATAGAATAGAATGAAAGAGCTGCTGATCCCTCTTTTATATAGATGCCAAGCCTCGGCGTCATATGTAAGCAAGGTGCTGCGATGACTCTAGCACAGACCGACTGAAGCTATTTGGGGGTTTACGGTATTTTCCTCTTTTGCTCTTTCTACTGTCATCATGAAATATGTTATACAGTAACAGAAAGTTACTGTGTACTTTGCGACTGACCAGAAATTGGGCCAAACATGAGGAACAGTTGTATCAGTCTGAGGGAGTCAGGCAGTCACATGGGTGACTGTAGCAAGAGGTGAAGGGAGCCCAGTCCCCTAGCAAGGGCCCAGGTGGTGATGAGAAGTCAGGTGGTCTGGGAGCAGACTGCCCTGACCACAGCTGAGTGGGTGTTTGTCCTCCAGCTCTTCACTGGCGCTGTGCGTTTCATGTTGTTCTGTGCAGTGCGCCTACACTCACTTCAAGCTGCTGGAGACCTGCGTCAGTGAGCAGCATGAATACCACTGGCATGATGGTGTGAAGAGGTTTTTCAAGTGTCCCTGTGGGAACAGAAGCATATCCCTGGACAGACTCCCGAACAAGCACTGCAGGTATGAGAACCACCTGGGGCTCTTTGTCCCACATGGGGATCTTCATCTCTTTTTCCGGTGGCTGTGAGTCTATTCCCTGGGAACGTTGGATGATCATTATGTGCCTTCCTACAGCTCCAGGCTGTCCTCTCGACTCAAGTTGTTATCTGAAATCCTGGAATTCCTTCCCTGCCCTTTCACTGCTGTCCCCAACACCTATTGTAGTACCTGACCCGCAGGAGGTCCTCAGAAGTGTTTGTCGAATAAATAAGAATGATAGGGTGGGGTGGTGAACCTGTGTGTGTTTGTTGGGGGCTAGGATGCACATGATATTTTTTTCTTCTCTCTACTCCCAAGAGTTATTTGATCATTTTAAATGTCTTTAGCTTGTGAGAACTGCTGTTCCTCAGTATCCAAGGGGGATTGGCCCCAGGACAGCCCTCTCCCCACAGGATACCAAAATCTGTGGCTGCTCAAGTCTCTGATAGAAAATGGTGTAGTGTTTGCATATAACGTGCACACATCCTCCCATATACTTTAAAACATCTCTAGATTACTTATAATGCCTACTACAATGTCAATGCTGCAGATATTGTTGTTGCCGTTTATTGTCGTTTTGTTATTTTTTACTGTGCTTCCCCCAGTAAAAGGGGAGGGAGCCAGGAACCCGGGCCGGTTCATCCCTTTACCAGGAGCTGGCTTGCAAATTTTTCACAATCTAGATTGTAATTTTTTAAGTAGTTATTTATATGTTGATACTTGACTTATCTCCAAAATAGATGACTAAAAATATCATCATAGCAAGAGCTTACAGAAAACATTAGAAAAAATTTTTAAAAATCTGTTCTAAGTGCAAGACACAAATGGAAGCGCAAGGCGCCTTTCAACCTGCAGGTGGCACTGTGATTGTAGGAACCGCGCTTTCTCTGGCTTCTTGTCAGTTGTCCCCTCTTTTTTTGAGACAGGGTCTCACTCTGTCGTCCAGGCTGAAGTGCAGTGGCACGATCATAGCCCATTGTGGCCTTGAACTCCTGGGCTCAAGCGATCCTCCTGCTTCTGCCTCCTGCGTAGCTGGGACTACAGGTGTGTGCTACCACACCCAGCTAATTTTTTTAAATTTACTTTTTTGTAGAGACAGGGTCTCTCTGTGTTGTCCAGGCTGGTTTCAAACTCCTGGGCTCAAGTGGGCTCAGCCACCCAAAGTGCTGGAATTACAGGCATAATCCACCATGCTTGGCCCTCGTATTAGTTCTTAAGATCAAGACTGCTGCAGTGAGCTATGATGGCACTACTGCACTCTAGCCTCTCCCAAAGAATGAACCTTGTTTCTAAAAAAATAAAAATGAAAACAAAACAAGAGTCCCTGAGCCCTTTGAATTACAAGAGAGTGAAGAGGCAGGGCGCAGTGGTTCATGCCTGTAATCCCAGCACTGTGGGAGGCTGACGCAGGCAGATCACCGTACCCAGGAGTTTGAGGCCAGCGTGGGCAACATGGCAAACCCCCACCAATCCCCCCAAAAAAAAGAAAAGAAAAAGGAAGTGAGTAAAGGCTTTTGGGTTATAAAGAGAAAAGGAGAAGGATGATCCAGACTAGAAAGATTATTCCTTTCCTTATCTCAACCTTTCTGCTCCAAAAAAAAAAAAGAGAGAGAGAGAGAAGGAAGAGGCAAAACATAGACTATCCTGCACCAGGGAGCCAGCTCCCTAAATCTGAGTCTCCTCCCAACAACCATCCATTGTAAAAACCAAGGGTGCCTTCATTACCTGCAGCCTGTGGTTGCCTGTGGTACTATCATTTGAAGCTCCATCTCTGAAGCCTCTAGCTTTGTAAGGAACTGCACACCACTTCCCAAGTCATTATAGATTTATCTGTAGTTGCATTCGAGCATAACCTCAGATTTGGCATATAATATGAGTGTCACCTTGAACAGCTTCTCCTGGAATAGGGGCCACTGTCCCCAAGTACAGTGAGCACGGCGTCTTTGCATGAGTGGGCCTACACCACCCTGCTGAGTGAATCCATCTTTTCTGTTTCAGTAACTGTGGCCTCTACAAATGGGAACGGGACGGAATGCTAAAGGTATGCCATTTGCCTACTAATTTGTGACTCCTTTTAGTGACCCATGCTAATAATGTTGTACCATCTCCCATTAAAATGTTTTCATTTTTCTAGGAAAAGACTGGTCCAAAGATAGGAGGAGAAACTCTGTTACCAAGAGGAGAAGAACATGCCAAATTTCTGAATAGCCTTAAATAACCCTAACTTCCAACATCTCACCACAGCTTTCCTGGCCTCCTGTGGCTCTGGAACGCAAGGGAGTGGCTCTGTATTGTCCATTGGTTCTTGATTGACACCGTCAAAAACAAATGCTTGTTAAGCCCCTAAGCTTTGCCTGCTTACTGCCATTGGGTTGGTTTCACACCACATTTAACATTGACATTTAAGCGGAAAACCAAGATATCATTGTCTTTTCTAAGCTCACTATGGATGATTGTATTATTTCATTCACAGAAGTTTTTGCCCAAAAACTAGAAGGCAAACAGAGAGCTGTGTTTCTGTATCTTTTGGTTACAGAATGTTCACTCCTTTATCATAGTAAAATTTTAGTGTTTATAGGGACACCGAGAGGCAAAAAAATTAATTAAGCTTAACTCTCACCCCAGGTGAGTTGCTTAACTTCTGGGCTTCAGTTTCTTACCTGTAAAATCAGGAAGATTGGACTAAATGATCTTGAAATGTATTTTTTAGCACTGGATTTCTACAAGTAATAAAACTTTTTTCCATCTAGATAATTATGATCACTGCCTTTAATATAAGATTTGATGTACGGATGTTAAAAGCCAGATTTCTTCATTCCATCATTGAGTCACTGAACCACTTTGCATTTCAATTTACATATAAAGAGAAAGAAGGCTCTCTGCTCTTACATTATTGTGGAGCTCTGTGATAGAAATACGTAAAATCTCACTTCACTTTTTAAAATTTCTTTATTTTTTGACAGTGTCTCACTCTGTCACCTAGGCTGGAGTGCAGGGGTGCGATCACAGCTCACTGCAGCTCAGCTTCCTTGGGCTCAAGCAATCCTCCCACCTCAGTCTCCTAAATAGCTAGGACTACAGGCCCAGCTAATTTTTGTGTTTTTTGTAGAGATGGTGTTTTGCCATGTTGGTCGGGCTGGTCTCAAACTCCTGAGCACAAGCAATCCACCCACCTCCATTGCAAAAAAAAAAAAAAGAATGAAAGATCAAACCCTGTGCAAATTACCACAGCAAAGGTTTCATTCAGGAGATTCCTCGGTCTGGGCAACCTGATTTTCCAGATATCATTTGACCTAAGCGAATGTTGGTATCAGCTAAAAATTGAGTAAATTAGTAGAATTATTGTACTGAACCTTGAGCTCTAGCTAAAAGTAATTTAGGCTTCCCCTAAGATGTTATTATGTTAGGGATATAACACTTTTGGGGGATTGTTGTGGGAGATGGTTGGTTTTGGTTTTCAAAGGCCAGAAATAAAATTGACATGCCTTAGATTTCATAAAACTGCTCTAATGGGTTGAAGGTGCTGTGTCTAACTCGTGTTGCTCCTAAGGTTATGTTGTAGTAACTGTTCTTTTAGGAGTACTTCTACTTTATAAAAGGTTGCTTTTCTGTTTAATTTTTTCTAACAGAGAAAAGAATAAAGTATTTATTAATAAGAACCAAAAGTTCTTATTAATAAATAAGAAACTGGGATGTTTTTAATGGCTCTTTTAGGGTAGATTTATTTATCTCATTAACTTAAAAACAGCTATGTGTATGAAATAGGTCACAACCACACAGAGCTTAACACCAGGTTGCTGTCTGAGCATCGCTCTCTTACTTACAGGGAAAAACAATATTTTTTTTGTGTGGTTGCTTTTGTTGTTGTTTTTGAAACACAGTCTCATTCTGTTGCCCAGGCTGGAGTGCAGTGGGGCGTTCTCGGCTCACCACAACCTCCACCTCCCAGGTTCAAGTGATTCTCTTGCCTCAGCCTCCCGAGTAACTGGGACTATAGGTGCCTACCACCACGCCTGACTGATTTTTGTATTTTTAGTAAAGACAGGGTTTCACCTTATTGGCCAGGCTGGTCTTGAACTCCTGAACTTGTGATCCGCCTGCCTAAGCCTCCCAAAGGGCTGGGGTTACAGGTGTGAGTCACCGCACCTGGCAAAACAATGTTCTCATTTGAACAGAGGGTATCACTGCAGTCAGTATTCACTTGTATATTGTTATATAAGTTTTATAACATGCTTGTAAAGGTTGAGAGTGAGCTGCATCTGGATGCCTTTTTATAACTGGGTTTTAACTTTTTAAATAAATGTAAAACATAATTGTAATTTCCTAGTTTTGCTCAATCTTGGGGGACTTTACTTTGAGGTGCTCTGTGCATATGCTTTCTTAGCATATTTGGGGATGAGAAGGGGTCGGTAGGGTGGGGTAGGGAGACTTGTTATTTTATTTCACTTATTTTTTTGAGACAGTCTCCGTGGCTGGAGTGCAGTGGTGCAATCTTGGCTCACTGCAACCTTCACCTTACAGGTTCAAGCAATTCTGCCATTTCAGCCTCCCAAGTAACTGGGATTACAGGCACGCTCCACCACGCCTGGCTAATTTTGGTATTTTTAACAGAGAAGGGGTTTCACCGTGTTGCCCAGGCTGGTCTCAAACTCCTGCCTGAAGTGTTCCACCTGCCTCAGCCTCCCAAAGTGCTGGGATTACAGACATGAGCCACTGTGCCCAGCCTAATCCTGCCTTCCTTATCAACCTTTATGAAGTGCTCTCATACAAATCCATCATACGTGTTTTATTTTCCATTGGTAATGCAGGGATTAAATGTGTAATCACAGGCCACTGGAACAGGGTAAGTACACAGTATCTGAACTAGCAAACAAAAACCATGTCCTTTGAGGAGAACCTGGTTGATCTAAATATTACAATCCTCACAATGGGTTTTTGTTTCTTTTTACTGTGCCTTTTTCTGTTTAGAGAAAATAAGTGGTTTTTTAAAGAAAATCATATTTGTCTTTTGTTAAAATAAATTTTCCCTTTCCAAACATCAAAAGGAAAGCCGAAGTATTTTAGATACCAACCATCCTGAATAGCAAACAAGGAACTTCTGAGTAACTGGTGTGGAATTTTCCCCAAAGGGAATTTGTAAACGTTCAAAGCTTAAGGCGGACTGGTGGTTAACAGAGTTGACAGGAAGATTGCATGGAGTGGGTTTCTGGGGTGAAGCTGATGAAGACAGAAGTAAAGCTTGATGTTTGCAGCAGGTGAAATCATGTCTTGTGACATTTTAGAAAATCTGGAGTGCAAATCTGTTTGTATAAGTATATTCCCAGTAGCAACCCAGAATTGTAAAATAGACTTCTTTGATCCCATGGCTAGAGATTTAGAAATCATGCAGCTGTCAAGAACTGTGGGTGAACTCTGGCCTGGCATGGTGGCTCACGCCTGTAATCCCAGCACTTTGGGAGGCTGAGGCAGACAGATCACCTGAGGTCAGGAGTTGGAGACCAGCCTGGCCAACATGGTGAAACCCCATCTCTACTAAACATACAAAAATTAGCTGGGCATGGTGGTGCACACCTGTAAGTTGGTTAAGTAATTTGGAAATAAGATCTGAAACAGAACTGGAACCACGTCTGTGGAAACGTTGCTTGACCAAGACATCTATTTTTTAAATCAACTGTATTCAAGTATAAATTTCATACAGTAAAGGACACACATCTTAGGTGTGCAGTTGGCTACATTTAGACAAATGTATACCTCTGTATAGCCACACCACAAGCAAGATACAAGACATTGCCATCATCCCGAAAGCCCTGCGCCTCTTCCCAGCCCAAGCCCCAGCCCATCGCTTATCCGTCAGTATAGTGAAGATCTGTCTTTCCTAGAGTTACATATACAGGAGTATAGAGGACACACTTTGTCTGGCTTCTTTCACTGGACATATTTTGCAATTCATGTTACCTGTATCCATGGTTTATTATATTATATGGATATGTCCCAGAATGCATTCACCTGTTGGTGGGCGTTTAGATTGGATTCCCAGTTTGGGGCTGTCCTGAATAAAGCTGCTATAAATATTCAAGTATAAATTTTTCTGTGGATATGTTTTTGTTTCTCTTGGGTAGATATCTAGGAGGGGAATTTCTGGGTTACATGTTAAGTATATTTTAGCTTTTAGCCGGGCACGGTGGCTCACACCTGTGGTCCCAGCACTTTGGGAGGCTGAGGCGGGTGGATCGCGAGGTCAAGAGATCGAGACCATCCTAGTCAACGTGGTGAAACCCCATCTCTACTAAAAATACAAAAAATTAGCTGGTCACGGTGGTGCATGCCTGTAATCCCAGCTACTCAGGAGGCTGAGGCAGGAGAATTGCCTGAACCCAGGAGGTGGAGGTTGCAGTGAGCCGAGATCGTGCCATTGCACTCCAGCCTGGGTGACAAGAGTGAAACTCCATCTCAAAAAAAAAAAAAAATTCAACATTCATGGACAAAGGTCAAAATAACAGCATGAATATGAGTTCACAAAACATACTTTTAAAGGGTAGTACATTATAAGATCACAGAGTATATCAGAGTTGTCAGTTGTAGACTAGAACATTTATATTTAACCAGTTTGTTTTTAGAGAAATCCCTCAAAAGCTAGAAATGACTGTTTCTTGAGACAGGGTCTTATACTCTTTTGCCCAGTGTGGAGTGCTGTGGTGCCATATAGCTCACTATACCCTCAACCTCCTGGGCTCAAGCAATCCTCCTACCTCAGTCTCCCAAGTAGCTGGAACTACAGGCATGTGACACCGTGCCCAACTAAATTTTAAATTTTTTTTAGAGACGGGATCTCACTACGTTGCCCAGGCCAGTCTTGAACTCCTGGACTCAAGTGACCCTCCCGACGTGCTGGGATTACAGATGTGGCTCACCACGTCCAGCCTGAACTTTTAAATTATGAAAAACTTCTCAAACAATTAGAACATAATTGGCAGAAAATGAATTAGAAATAAAATAACCCAACTCAATGTAACTGGTAGAAACCACATAATAAATTTTAAAAAAACGTTTTAAAAATCATTCTGTGGCTCACGCAACTTTCCATATTCTTCTAAAAAAATCTTAATAAACAAAGGCACATGATAATAAAGCGTGAAATCTCTATTGGAACACACAGAAAACCTGTTTCTTTCTTGTACCTTTAACCTGCACCAGAAGAAGGAAATTCCAACATACGCAAAACTGGTGAATAAACATGAATGACAGATTCATCCTTTGACAAATTTGTTTTCAACCACTTAGCTGGAAGCCACAAAGAACTACGGGAAAGTACTAACAGAGAAGCCCAAGCACAAGTAACCTCAAAGGCCACACTTTCCACAAGGCCAGTCTCCAGAAATACAAACTGCCCTGCTCCCCATTTCCTGTGAACCGTGGCTGCCCAGATCCCAGGTCGCATTACCTCTGGCATGCTTCTCTCGCCCAAGGAAATGACCGCGGCTGGCATTTGGTGAAGGAATTCCAGACTGAATTGGAAAACCCTGAAGTATAATGAAGCCCTTGTTAAGGATGTGGGGGTAGAACGAGGTAATGGAATTGTTATTCAGCTCCTTTTCGCCAGAGTTCTGTATCTAGAGCCACCATGGATGGTAAGCATGACCAGGGAAGAGGCAAGAATAGGCTGTTTTGTTTTGCTGTTTTAAAGCAAGCTATTCTTGGTTTTTGACATCTGAAAAGCTCTGCATTCCTTGCTGTGGACACGATGGGCAGGTGGTGCACGGTGTGGCTGTGAGTCAGTTTATCGGTTGACATCCATCTGATTCACTACCATGCAGAAAAGGGGAACTGCCCTCTTGCCAGAAAGCACTGGGGTGTGTTGTCCTGACCAGTATGAACCAGACTGGGGCTCCTCTTGTTTCCCCGCAGAAGTGACAGAGCAACGCTTTGCCTTTTTTCAGTTGCACACGGAGTATTTTTTTTGAAGTCAAAAAAGCAAAACAACACCCTTGTAAGCAGAGGCTACCTACCTACAGGGTCAGGGCCTCAGGGTCTGACTTGGCATTCAGCCAGGAGGGCAGTTATGTGCAAATACAGTGCAACCTCTGTGATACTGCTAGCTGAACAGCCTGCACGCCTGCCTCAGGGTCTGAGCTAGCAGTGATCAAGCTTACACTGCTGTCAACGACCAACCTCAGTTGGTAGGCAAACCATCCACTTGGTAACAGCTAGAGATAGGCACATGTTCTTGAATTCCATTTTTCCCTCCCCTCCATTTCCCTTTTTTGAGAGGGTCTCACTCTGTCCACCAGGCTGGAATGCAGTGGCCTGATCATAGCTCACTGCACCCTCGAACTTCCAGTCTTAAGCGATCCTCCTGCCTCAGCCTCTCAAAGCACTGGGATTACAAGTATGAGCCACCCCACCTGGCCTTAAAGTCTTTGATATACCAGTCTCTTCCACTGCTAGCACTTTCAAGGAGGTCTGTGGAGAGCTGCGGGTTCCTAAACAGCCTTTCTGTTTAGCCAGGCCCGAGGCACTGGGGTAGCTGGTGGAAGCCCCCGGACCACACAGCTAGGGTCTGCGCTAGGAGCCTGGTTAAGTCTGACTTGATTAAGTTTAATGGAGCTGGAGGTGAGATTTGCTGTCTGAGGAGATGCTGTGAATAGAGTATATTTCAAGCACCCCGTCCCCTGCCCAGGACTTTATTTACTTGCTTTCAAAAAGGATTGGCAAAGATGTCCAGTGATAGGAAGCACACAACCTCTTCAAAGGGAAATTTGATTTAGCCAGTTTAAAATACGTAGACGTTGGCTGGGTGCGGTGGCTCGCCTGTAATCCAGCAGTTTGGAAGGCCATGGTTGGTGGATTGCTTGAGCTCAAGTGTTCAAGATCAGCCTGGACAACATGGCAAGACCCCATCTCTCCTGAAAATACAAAAAGTAGCTGGGCATGGTGGTGCATGCCTGTAGTCCCAGATACTTGGGATGCTGTATCTGGGAGGATCATCTAAGCCTGGGAGATTGAGGCTGCAGTGAGCCATGATCTTGTTATTGCACTCCAGCCTGGGTGACGGAGTGAGACCCTGCCCCGCTCTCTCTCCATGTATATATATAATAACCCAGCATTTCATGTCCAGAGATCAACTGCACTGAGAGCGGACTGGGTGAGTCAACTCTAGCATAGTCAGTGGCATATGAGACATACTGAGAAGAGTGAGCTATGCTCAAGTTCAAGCTTTTGAACACCCAAGTCAGCAAGAATCACATCATCACTCAGGGAAGAGAACGTGACACCCCCTTGGTTGGAGATCTGAGACGGTAATACACGTTGATTCAGCGTATTTATTTGTAAGCCATAAGCAAATATGTGATTCTTAACTGTGATTCTTTTGCTTGGGAACGAAGCCAGGGGAAGCCACTGTAGGTTTGGTGCTAGGAGGCCCAGCAGGCAGTTGCTCACCTCAGATGATGGTCTGCACAAAGGTGAAAGCCAGGGCACGTTCACACATTGGAATGAAGGGCATGTGTCTTTTCTGGGGCTGCCAGCCATTGCAAACCCCAATCTGAGACCCTCTGAAGGGCCGGTTTGCATGGGAAAGATTGCTAGAACACGGGGATGGCAATGTGTGCTACAAGCCTCATCTTCTCTGCTGGCTTCAGGATGGGATCAGATGTGGTGGCGGCTGTAGAGATAGGATGGGTACAGGCCATCATAGTGCCACTGGCGCCACTGCTCCACAGCCTCCCGGCTCCTCTCTTCCTGCTCTGAGGAGGAAAGGCAAAGCCACCTGTTCCAACAGGGGGACACTGACCTGCCACTGCGCCCAGCAGCCATCAGCCCAACCCGTGCCCTGTGGTGACCTGCACTGAGAGTGCTTGTGAATCCTGGTGAGAGAAGGCCAGGGCTAGTGAGGACCCAAAGTTAACAGGCCTTGCTTATAGGTCAGGGCCAGATGGGCAAAGTTCACAGGCAGGTATAGACCAGGGCTGGGCATCTCAGGCTCTTCTGCCTGCATAGCTAGTGTAGGCAGACAGAGGCTTATGCAGCCCTGTTTCAAAGAGATAGCAACCAAGACACAAGACGAAAAAGTAACAACGTAGTAGCGGGAATGGACTCATGAAAGAAAAAAAAGGGACGACAGCACGCCTGGAAAACCTGAGGGAAATCAATCAACTTGAGTTTTCTCCTCCATACTGTTCTGAATTAATTTGCTTTCTTTCCTTTCTCACTTGTTTCGTTTTGTTTTGAGACAGGGTCTCAGTCTGTCACCCAGGCTGGAGTGCAGTGGTGTGATCATGGCCCACTGCAGCCTCAACTTCCCAGGGCTCTGGCGATCCTCCCACTTGAGCCTCCTGTGCTACCATGCCAGCTATTTTTTTTTTTAATTTTTTCATAGAGATGGGATTTCACTGTTGTCCAGGTTAGTCTCCGACTCCTGGTCTCAAGCCATCCTCCTGCCTCAGCCTCCTATAGTGCTGGGATTGGCCAGGTGCAGTGGCTCATGCCTGAATCCCAGCACTTTGACTTTGGGAGGCCGAGGCCAACAGATCACCTGAGGTCAGGAGTTCAAGACTAACCTGGTCAACGTGGTAAAACCCTGTCTCTACTAAAAAAAACACAAAAATTAGCCAGGCGTGGTGACATGCCCCTGTAATTCCAGCTACCTGGCAGGCTAAGGCATGAGAATCACTTGAACCTAGGAGGTGGAGGCTGCAGTAAACCAAGATCGTGCCACTGCACTCCAGCCTGGGCAACAAAGTGAGATCCTGTCTCAAAAAAAAGAAAAAGAAGAAAAGAATATGCCCAAAAGAATTAAAAACAGGGACACAGATACTTGTACATGAATATTTGTAGCAGTACTACTCACCATAGCCAAGAGGTGAGAACAACCCCAGTGCCTATCAACAAAGAAGTAACATGCGGCCTGTGTGTGTCAGATTTAGCCCAAGAAGTAATGACGTTCTGGCACATGCTACAACATGGATAAACCTGAAAAATATTATGCTAAGTGGGCCGGGTACGGTGGCACACACCTGTAATCCCAGCACCTGGCCAACATGGTGAAACCCCATCTCCACTAAAAATACAAAAATTGGCTGGGCATGGTGGTGTGCCCCTGTAATCCCAGCTTCTGGGGAGGCTGAGGCCAAAGAATCACCTGAACCCGGGAGGTGGAGGTTGCAGTGAGCCGAGATCTTGCCACTGCACTCCAGCCTGGGCGACAGAGCAAGACTCCGTTTCAAAATGTGTGTGTGTGTGTGTGTGTGTGTGTGTGTGTGTGTGTGTGTGTGTGTAGAGAGAGAAAGAGAGTGAAAGCAGCCCAGGCACAAAAAGATGAGTAGCGTGCAATTCCACTTATATGACATGTCTAGAATAGGCAAATTTGCAGAGACCATAAAAATTAAAAAGAGAGGTTACCAAAGGCTGCTGGGAGGGAGGAGTGGCAAGTTATTGCTTAGCGGATGCAGAGTTTCTATTTGAGGCTATGTAAGGGTTTGGAAATAGCAGTGATCACGGCACAGTGAATGTACTAAATGCTACTGAGTTGCACACTTAAAAATAATTTAGGCTGGGCATGGTGGTTCACACATGTCATCTCAGCACTTTGGGAGGCCAAGCTGGGAGGATTGCTTGAAGCCAGGTGTTTGAAACCAGCCTGAGCAACACAGCAAATCATCGTCTCTACAAAGTAATCATTTAAAAAATTAGCCAGGTGTGATGGTGCATGCCTATAGTGCCAGCTACATGGGAGGCTGAGGTGGGAAGGATCACTCGAGCCCAGGAGGTTGAGGCTGCAGTGAGCTATGGTCACACCACTGCACTACAATCTGGGCAACAGAGCAAAACCCATCTCAAAAAAAAAAAGAAAGAAGGAAAAAGTTTAAATGGCAAGTTTTATGTTATATATGTTTTACCACATTTTAAAAAAGCATTTGTCAAAGATGTTGGAAGGATGGGAAGTCCTAAGAGATGATGTCAAGAATTAAAGAACTAAGATGTCTTTCTTACTGCTATTTCCTCAAATGTGGACCTCACCAAAAAGCCCATGAACCTCATTTTGGTGCTAGTGAAACTGAAACTGGCTTTATCCTCTGTGGCAGTGGCCAACAGGACTGTCTGGTGGCTTCCGGGTGTGAGGAATGGGGATGTCGCTTTAGTCCTTAGCACCTGTGAGAGCCACGTGCCCAGGCCGAGACTCACTTCCACCCAGTTAGGTGCCCGGCCCAGTGACCAGGGCAGGTTGAGGCACCACGCCTGCCAGGAGCGTTTCCTTCCTATGTGAGCACGGAGCTGTCGCTCCCCTTGGTGCTGAAAATCCCATTGGGTACCTAGTAGCCCAGGGGCAGCCTGGAGCTCACAGAGCCAGGCCCAGGCCAGAGCTTTGCGTGTTTACCTTCAGCTCTTTCAGACATTTCTCAAGCCTAGTAGAGCAGCTACTCTTTGCCAACCCTGAGAATGTGGTTTTCACATAGAAGTTGATTCAACGTCCTGTTTTTTGTTGTTTTTGTTTTTGAGACAAGTTCTCATTCTATTGCCCAGGCAGAAGTGCAATGGCACAATCATAACTCACTGCAGCCTCCTGGGTTCAAGTGATTCTCCAGCCTCAGCCTCCCAAGTTGCTGGGACTGCCTGCCTAATTTTTAATAGAGACAAGGTCTCGTTGTGTTGCTAGGGCTTAACACCTTGGCCTCCCGAAATTCTGGGATTACAGGCATGAGCCATGATGCCCACTCGGCATTCCTTTTATGAAATAAGTACTTTGGGGAGATGTCGGATATCCAACTGCTATCAGTTACCCTTAGAATAGATGACGCGGGACTGGGCACTGTGGCTCACATCTGTAATCCCAGCACTTTGGGAGGCTGAGGCAGGTGGATCACCTGAGGTCAGGAGTTCAAGACCAACCTGGCCAACATGGTGAAACCCCGTCTCTACTAAATATACAAAAATTAGCTGGGTGTGGTAGCACACACCTGTACTCCCAGCTACTTGGGAGGCTGAAGCAGGAGAATCGCTTGAACCTGGGAGGCGGAGGTTGCAGTGAGTTGAGATCATGCCACTGCACTCCAAGTGGGCAGCAGAAAGAGACTCCATCTCAAAAAAAAAAAAAGAATAGGTGACTTGGTTAGATAAGACAGAAGACAGCAGCTAGATGAAACCAGGGTCCTGACTGACAGGTGTACCACGGACCTCAGAGGAGGGCTTGGAAGTCAGATGCCTCAAACACCTTCCTAGGGATGGTTTCAGGCAAGCAGGCCGCGGTGCAGCACTGTGAGTCACAGGCAAGGGAGGGGAAAGAAGATTGAAACTACTTCCACCTCCTCCCTCCATCCTCCGGCCAATTCCTGGATCAGAGAAGCTCTCCAAGCTCTCTGCACATGTGCTCATTCTTGATTTACAAGAACAAGAGCTCTGCTGGCAAACAAGCCTTGGTGTTGTAATGCGAGGGCTATCCACTAGCGACGTCTCCTTGGGTATTTATGTATCCCTTCTAAGCCTCAGTTTTTAATTTTTGTTGTTGCGGACTTTTTTTTTTTTTTTTGAGACAGGGTCTTGCTCTGTTGCCCAGGCTGGAGTGCAGTGGCACAGTCATAGTCAGTCTAGCCTTGAACTCCCCAGGATGAAGTGTTCCTCTCTCAACCGCCCACGTAGCTGGGACTACAGGCACATGCCACCAGCCCAGCTGATTTTCTAATTTTTGGAGAGATGGTATATCTCTGTGTTGCTCAGGCTGGTCTCAAACTCCTGGGCTGAAGCCATCCTCCTGCCTCAGCATCCAGAATAGCTGGAACTACAGGCACATGCCACCAGCCCGGCTGATTTTCTAATTTTTGGTAGAGATGGTATATCTCTGTGTTGCTCAGGCTGGTCTCAAACTCCTGGGCTGAAGCCATCCTCCTGCCTCAGCATCCAGAATAGCTGGAACTACAGGCACATGCCACCAGCCCGGCTGATTTTCTAATTTTTGGAGAGATGGTATATCTCTGTGTTGCTCAGGCTGGTCTTAAACTCCTGGCTTCAAGCCATGCTCTCACTTTGGCCTCCCAAAGCGCTGCGATTACAGATGTGAGCTACGGTGCCCAGCCTAAGCCTCAATTTTTGAAACCGTGAGCTAGAAATTACAAGGCCTATCTCAGAGGCAGGTTGTAAGGATCAGGTGGTCCCTTACAGTGCCTGGCAGAGCAAGGGCTCAAGGACAACAGCTTCTGAAACCACAGTCCCCAAAGACCTGTGTTTTTTCCCATCTGTGTGGGCAAGACCTAGCGTCTCCTGCCTTCCTATCCTGTCAGAGGACCTGCAAGCACCCAACCCTGCATCCCAAATTCATCACGGAAGGGGAAACAGTGAGTTTTTCCATCAACTCGCCAGAGCTTTGGACCAAAAACATTTAAAACTGCTCAAAATAAAAATGCTATTTTAATAGTATGAGTTGAAATCACACTGAAGGAATTTTGAAGGCCACATTCTCAACTTTTAAATGCTTCTCCTCAAGCTGCCCACCAAGATAAACACATCTCTAGCAGAGTGTGTGCTTCCAAGCTGTGATGGCCGGAATTTTTCCCAGCTCGTCCCTAAGAGAGTTTGAGTCGCCAGGAT